ATTCGAACTTTTCCCATATTTTAAAGTTCGAATTCAAACTGAACACGGGGGTGTTCGGCCCATCACTACTCAGGAGTTACATTTGAAAAAAATCCATTCATGTACCTTAACTAGTAACAAAAATGTATCTTATTTGTGTATCACTCGGCTGTAGATCCTCAATTCATCTCTGAATTGGTGCTGACACAGTCCTTCCTTCAGGAGGGTGGCTACTTTTCTTCCCCATGGTCCCTGTGTGTTGTAAAGTAGTCACCGCTCCTAGATCACTCCCGTGATGGACTACAATCTCACGTTCAGTTTAATAATTTGTATTGAGATTTGACGGCAACTTTTTAATTCAACCTATGTGAGTAGGATTGATTCTTTTCAATAAATATTTTACTGCGCGATGAGCGTGACACCTTTAACTTCTGCGGGCACTTGAAGAAGTTTGATATTGTGGATCACTTGGGATCTTTTGTTTTATTATAACACTAAGACACCTATGTTATACTGAAAATGTTTTGAACTTGTTTAGCACTTTTATGGACTATTAATTGAACAGTTATATTAAAACAATATGATATGTATTTTATTTTTTTGTCTCCCTTCCCTCCACCATACCAGGCCACATGCCCTCAGCATTGGGGGGGTGCTTTTCCAGGGTGGACCCGCTGGAAAAGCACCTTGTCCCCATTCTGATGGGTCTCCTCCTGAAAGAGCACCCTCTCCTCCTGAAAGAGCACACACCTTACAACCATCGCAAGACTTAAGGTAATTAAAAAAATGTACGATCTGCCCATCTTGGACAGGCAGATCGTACTTCCGATGACCACAATGTCGAACGGGCATTGTGCGCTTGCGCACAGCGGTCCGTCCGGCTTTTATCTTACAAACAATTATCGCAAGGTGTTTGGGCACCTTAAGGCATGTGGCCTGGTATGGCGCAGGGGGGCGGCACTCACTCGTCCCCCTCTTTCCTGCCTTACCAGGCCACTGCTTGGATTAAGGGTCTGGTTGGGAATTAGGAGGGACCACATGGGTTTTTTTTGTGCTGGGGTACCCCTTAAAATTCCTACCAGACCTGAGGGGGAAACCTCACACCTTTTTTTTTTTAACTCCCTGGTCTCTCCTAACATTCCTACCAGACCTGTGTTTTTCTTTCTTCTATTTATTTACAACTTGCAGGGAGAACAGTCCACTTCGGCAGACCGTTCTCCCTGCTTTGGCTGTGTCTTTGGCTCAGCCGTGCCGAAGCATATGCGTTTGGCTTGGCTGTGTGTTTCAGATGTCTTCGCCTGCTGTACAGGCTATTGTGAATAACCCGTACAGCAACCCTTCGGTTCAGCTGAGCCGAAGGCTTCCTGTGGCCTGTGGGCTTCCTGTGGCCGAAGCGAGCAGAAGGTTCGGCTTAATCCTTTGGGTCTTTTGTGAATAACCTTAGTCTTTCATATTTTTGTAGCCACTAGATGAAGCTCTTTATTAGACTCAGCCTAACACAACCTTCCCGCTTGAAAAAGAACAATTAACCCTTTTTTAAATTTAAATAGATTGAAATATGGTTAGAACCTCTGCCAGGTTTCTCCTGTGTTTTTGCATGTTGGGGCTCTTTCCTTCCATGTCCAATCCTTGAGATGCAATAGGAAATTAGAGAAAATCTCCCTAAAGTAAAGTACAATTATAAGTTTGACAATTGTCACCAGAACTGGTGTCATTGTTGAAAGATCCCCCCCTTGTATGCATAATTGTGTGACAACTGTAACAACTGTTGTCATCAGAACAGACATTTCGGGAGAATCTATCCTATAAGGATAAAGGTCAACAATAAATATCTGACAAAGGGGTCAAAGATACAGTGAGGTCCTTCCTCACTGTATCTAAACAGGTTAAGATGTGGTCTCCTCCCTCAGGGAGTGTATTGTTTTCACTGAGTCAGCCTACTGATGAATTTTATTGTTAAAAGGAGCAGTAAAATAACAAAAAATGTACATTCCCTTTTAACTTTTCTGCACTAATACCAAGGCTGTAATTGTGAGTAGGAGAACCACAAAGCTAATGGACTAACCTATGTATTTTAAAGCATCATAATTCTTTATAAACAGAAGTTCATCAAAAAGGGTTACTTTTTCTTATATCTTGGCAATAAATCTAACATATCAGATTTCCCAAATTAGTCCTAAGGTTTAAAAACTTCCTAAACAAATACATTTCTTTGAACTGAACCTGTTATATCCACTAATTTTAAGTAAGTGCTTGCAAATACTTGCACAAGTTTTCACACCAGTTCCTTTGTTCCTGAGGAGATCTCTAAATCCTAGGCTCCAACTGCATACAGGAACCTGGCCTCTCTCCAAGATGAGATTAAAGTAGTATTGATCTCTTAAACTTATTTTTAAACAATGAATCCAGATGAATCAAATATATTCTATGCCTGGCAAAGTATTTCTTTCCTAAATAAGCAGTCACCAATGGAGCCCATCTTTGGAGATCATTTCATGTCAACCAGTGGTGCTGTGACACAGCATCTCCAGGTTAGCTGAACACCTCTCCCTGGTGACACAGAGGATCCACTTACTCCATGACACGCAGTGTGATGGTAGGAGTATCAGATCCCACCACTGCCATCAGAATGTGACAATTGCAGTTTCAGTGTCACACTGCACAGATATTTTAAAGCTTGCAGGACAACAATTTAAGTGCAACCAGACTGAGAGTGATCCTCACTGGGGTTGGTTAACTCCACAGTTAACCCTTTTTACGCACAAATAATCGTCACTACCACATGCTTTAAAGGAAACATGCCCCATTCACAGCATCTTCTGTAGTAATTCTAAGGGGGTTATTCTCTATCCTGACTTTCAGCTAATCCTTCAGCTTGCTTCGGTTGCAGGAACCCTCGGGTTCAGCCGACCGAAAGGGCTGCTGTATGCACTGTTCACAATAGCCTGTACAGCAGCCGAAGGCAGCCAAAGCACACAGCCGAGCCAAATGCATATGCTTCGGCTAAGCATAGCCAAAGACATAGCGGAAGTGGGAAGAACGGTCCATTGTAGGATTTTAAGGGGGCACTGCTGTGAATGGCCGAAGAGTTTACTTCAGCTCGGTTATTCATTCGGCTGCCTTTGGCAGCTTAGTGAATAACCCCCTAAGAATTGTCTGTGATACTCGTGGCCACACTCAGACAAGAATGTACAGAATTTAAAATGAGGTAGCTTTCTTAAAAGAGTCAAGATTAAAAGTTTGCCAGGTTTTGGCAGAGTCCAATATGCTGCAGAGTAAACCCAGTCTAATGTATTAAATCACCTGCTCTCATGAATGACCCTTAGCAATCCTTCATAGTTGGATTGGTAAATGAGAGCTCCAGCTGCCCATAGGAGCAGGTTTTTAGTGACCATGAGGAGGGTGTTGTTACTGAGCCAACCCCACACCAATCAAATGAGCTGAACGGTGTGATGTGGGAGCTCTAAAGTGTTTTATTATACTTTAATGGATACTCCCTTAATGCCAATTTTTTAAACTATCTTAATATTTCCAGATGACCATGTTGTACAGTGCGACAGCCAACCTATTATTGCACAGAATAAAATTATGATTTGATAGACATCAACAATAACATAGATCTTATTGATATACTCCTTAGGAGATGTAATATGTCCCATTCACCTTATGCGCTGCGCATTTGATATCTAACTGATTGCTATTTTCTTATACATTAGTGTAATCATTTATTATAAATGTATCTCCAGTACCATAAGAATTATGCAAATTGTCCACAACTTAATAGGTATTTCCACGTTTGTGGCCAAATTGGGATAACAATTACTTTATAATTGATATATTTGATATTTAAAAAAATGCCGGCTTACATTTAAAGTATTTTGAGCCTGCTTGAAAATCCTACCTACCCTCTATTTATTTATTATTGGTATTTATATAGTGCCGACAATTGAAGCAGCGCTTTACATAGTGCACATTCACATCAGTCCCTGCCCTTAAGGAGCTTACAGTCTAAGGTCCCTATCTCACATACATACGAGAGCCAATTTAGACAGTAGCCAATTAACCTTCCAGCATGTCTTTGGAGTGTGGGAGGAAACCGGAGTACCCTGAGGAAACCCACATAAGCACAGGAGAACATGCAAACTCCTTACAGATAGTGACCCGGCTGGGATTTGAACCAGAGACCCTGAGTGCTGCAAGGCAGAAGCGCTAACCACCATGCCAAATATTTTTAAAAATTATTTTTAGGTATGCTTTGTAAATGGGAAAACATAAACACATAGTGGAGTTTTCTTAAATTTGACTAGAAAAGTGGAAAAATACTTTAACCCTGGGCAGTTCATTTGTGTGTCAGTAGTACTGATCACCAACCCTAGTCTTACAGCTGCTTTTTTCTCCATGTGGCAGGGCATTTATGACATCCATTAAGAGGCTTTCCGGGCTCTGCTAAGTACTGTTTATGACACAGCTAGAGGTTTTCAGAAACCCCTGTCTGGCATCTAAGGTTATCTGCCTCATAACTTGGCACTGGCTTCTTGTCATGAACTGGGATATTTTTTTTCTTCAAGGGTGTTTCAACCTGGTCTTCGGCAGGGTTAGTTTTAACCCTGCCGCTCTGCTCACTGGAGTGAGGAGAGACTCGGCGGCGGAGGACAGAGCCAGCGAGGAGAGAGGTAAGTGCAGGGGGGCTGCAGACTTTTTACACGGGCCTCAGGGGCTTTGTGGGGAATCCTGGCCTGAGGGTGGCACTGCATTTAGCACAACTTCCCCATTATCCCCATACAGCTTGGGGTTGTCAGACCTCATTGTTGCCACTAGCATGACTAAAAATGGAAATAAAATAATAAAATGTTATGTTTTCCCTTGGGTGATCATAAAGCGCCATAATGCAGGTGGACCTATATTCTTGAAGTTATTTTTTTCAGGACTGATAACATAAATGTCCGCTCCACCCTGTTATAACACCCTCTTTTCCACCTGTCCTGACACCGTCACAGTGAAAATTACATGCATTCTCTTACCTGCCCAATTAAACTTGAAAAGACAAAGACTCCAGTGAAATAGTTTAGCAGTTGGAAGAGTATTTCAAATATTGTCTGAGGTTCTGAAAGTCCCCCTATGGTGATTAAAGTTCGAACAGCATAGTAGTAACACCTCAGATACCTGTAGATAAAAGAAATAAGGATACATTTTAGGAGCATGGTTGGCAAGAAATCTTTTACCAACTGCTAAAAAAACCCACCCAAATGCTTTTGTATGCACTGGTGTAGAATACAGAAAATGCTGCAAAACAAAGCCTGAAATACCTACTTTTTACTGGTGCAACATCTCCCTAGTATTGGTCAAGTGACTAAGGAGTGTATTTATAAACAATTCGCAGAGCCATTCAACAAACAAACGTGCATGTACAATGTGTTTTTGTGAATGGATGCAAAAACTATTGTTGTTAGCATGTTTTCTTTCTAAGATGAATGTAATATGAGGTAAATACCACATTCTGTCCGCGGAATGGTGGTGAGGAGCATAGGAAATGTTTTTTTGCTATTATTATTATACAGGATTTATATAGCGCCAACAGTTTGCGCAGCGCTGTACAATATAGGGAAGACATTACAATCACAATACAAATGACGACAAGATGGTAAGGAGGGCCCTGCCCCTGAGGGCTTACAGTCTAAAAATGCTATGCTCCTCAGCTCCATCTAGTGCCCATAATGTCAGATTTACCTGATATTACATTCGATCTGGAAGGAAAATATGCTGTTAAAATTTAGTTTTGCCCCTTTTTACTTGCACATGTACATGCAATTTTGAAGAGCGAATGGCTTTGTGAATTGCTTAGAAATACACCCCTAAGTGTCTAGGCTTTTGGTCATGTGACCAGCACTGAAGCGATCCTGTAAAAGTAGGTGCTTCTGTTACTCTTACTCACCCTAGCAAAACTGCTAACATAGCATTACATTAAAGTAATTCTGATCTCAAAAATGAATCTGATTATATAATATCTGTACACTCAACTTTAGATTTACCAGATGTATGTAATATGAGGATCAACCTACAATATCCAATTAATATATGTCCAATCAGGCAGGCCCTTGTACTACAGACTTGTTGGTAGATCTAACGGAGATTGTACAATCAGATTGTAAAATGTGTGGGGAGCTTAAGGCCTGGTTCACACCTGGGTTTTTTACAGCACGTTCCTACGCTCTGTAAAACGCTCAACATGTGAAAACCAATGATTGCCTATGGGCATGGTTCCCACATGGGCGTTTTACAGCGCGTAGGAACACGCTGCAAAACGCCCTACGCCCAAAGAAGTACAGGAGCTTCTTTGGGGCGTATTTGCCGCGCGTATCCATTGGGATACAGCCAGGTAGCCCTCGGAAACGCGCGTCTATTGCGAATCGTGGTAAAAATGCGCGGCACGAAACGCGCGACAAACGCGCATATTCGATACGTCTAGATGTGAACCCAGCCTAAGAATGACAAATAATCACATCCTTCGCATTGTCAAGCCTGAACAAACTACACTGGATTCTACTTGTACAGACTAGTCTCAGGAGGTATATTTAAATACATATAAATAATAATAGGTATGAAGCGCTATGGGTCCAAATAATAACTAAAACCTTTTAACTTCTTTTTCTACACATGTTGGATATAATAATACTTATTTTCACTATTTATTATTGATCAACCTACATTGGATATTAAATAAGTTTTTGGACTTTTATGAACTTATACATTCTCTATGAGAGATTTTTTCACTTTATGTATATATTGGAATAAGAATTCATGAATCTATATTTTTACACTTTCATTTATATGTTCATATATATTTATATGAAAATATTTACTGCACGATTTTGCACTCTTTGCAGTTTTGCACAATTATGATCAATATTATTATTATTATTATACAGGATTTATATAGCGCTAACAGTTTGCGCAGCGCTTTACAATGTAAGGAAGACATAACAATTACAATACCATTCAAGACAAGATGGTAAGGAGGGCCCTGCCCCTGAGGGCTTACAATCTAAAAGAGGAGGGGAAATGATACATGAGGAGGTTGCTGTGAGGGGATAAATTATTTGAGAATGTGATGGTTCAGTGGTTAGGTTGAGGCGGGTTAGGCTTCCCTGAAGAGATGAGTCTTTAGGGAACACTTAAAGACAGTCAAGGTGGGAGATATTGGGAGAGTGGGAGAGTATTGATCTATAGTCTATATTGAGGTAATGGCTTATACCTTTAGCACATGAATTCACGATTTTTATAATTTTATATTTATGTGTATCTATTTGCACAAGTTGAATCAAAAGAGGTTTATTTATGTTAATTTCATTCATGCACAATCAATGGTTATTTTCTCATCAATAGCCTTAGCATAGACCCATTTCATTAGTTATTATTTGGACCCATAGCGCTGCATACCTATTATTGTTTACGAGCTTGACCACAGTGTCTATAGTGCAGCAGCTGTAATAACATCCATTAGTTCTCTAAGACTACCCATAAGCGCAGACATTATCTTCCATGTTTAAATACATAAATCAGTGGTTGAGACAGAACAGTGCTTTTTCCTGTGCCCGCCTCTTTTGTGCATAGCCTTTACAGTTCAGATCCTCTTTAACAATTGAGTCTCAAATCTCAAAATGATAAGCCCACCTCAATGCCTCTAAAGCACCCTGTGTGTATGAGTAGTTCACTGGATCACACCTTCTACAGGTTGCACATGAGTTCATGGACAGTTGGCGACCTAAAAAGTAAAAGGTTTACATTTTTGTGTAAGCCCTGCTTGGCAGGTGATTACAGGGGGCTGATAGGAAGATACATTAAGGTATGTGTACTAGCTGCATTCATGAATAGATTTATTTAAAAAAAAAAAAAATTTGCCTGAAAATCATTAATAACTGATATGATAGTTGTATCTGTCCAACAAGCCTATATGACCGCACCAATGCCACGAATATATACAGAGCAGCAGTACGCCTTCGGATCTGACTAATGTCCACTCTTTACACTTACAATAAAAAAACATAAATGAAGAAAACAAAGAAAAGTTCTTAAAAAGCTCAGTAGTGCCATCACATAAGAACTAGATGGTTGCATGTTGGGCCTCATTGAAATATACATTGGATGTTTTCTTGTGTAAATAAGAAATGGAATTCTCTCCTAAATTCGACTGCATAGTCCTATAATATTGCTGCTAGGAAATAAGTAGCAGATAAATGTATATATTTTCCATATTTAAGCAGGGATATATAGTATGAGTATGATATTATATCTTTTTCTCAAAATGTAATAAAGAGGTAGAAAATAAACAGTATATTTTACTTTCAAATCTCCAGCTCTTGAATGGTTTCTTCCACTTGCAGGTCAAGCAATTTTACAGCTTATGTGATAATGGTAAAAGCAATCACCTACGTGCGCCCCTTAGCATTTAAAATAGAGCAAAAACAGGTCTGTCTATTTAATATGTGTATCTCTAAAAATGCCATCAGAAATATCCATTGAGGGAAGAGCGGAGCAAATGGTCCAAAAATCTAGCAGCATATGTGCAAATTGTGTAAAATGATTGACAAAGCATAACCATCCTGCAGTAATAGACAGGAGCTGTTCAGCAATGACAGTACAGAGAGCATGCATTTTATTCTGAAAATGCCTCTGAAATAACAATATTTTGGACTCAGGGATGCCAGGCTGCTCTTCAACACATCGATACCCATTCCAGAGCCTCTGGCGCTGAATTAAACAAATACTATTATAGACTGGCATGCTATTGTGTAAACAGCTAGAGAAGAATGTAGCAGACCGAGCATAAATAATGACAGAGGCACAGGCCGGATCAGACTTTTATAATGTGCCGAGTCTCTGCCTCACTTGCATTCTGCAAATGTTTCAAGAAATATTGTTTTTTTTCCTCCTTCTGCACATTTATCTATCTGGGAAGTGGAAAAAGGAAACATAACGTTATATTTGCATTTCATAGGAAGGTATGCAAATATCAGTAAGCTGGAGGCATTGCAAATTTAACACTAGTCCAGCCCAGTTTTTTTATTTTATTTTAGTGTTTTGGATAAGGCAGAGAAGAGTTAACATTCCTGTAAGATTTTATTTCTGCCTGTTACCCCACTGGGGGTATTTTGCCTCACTGCCTGGCCCTGCGACACCCGTGCAAGAAATGGCAGGAGTGGCTGTCACCCAAACCAAAAGGCACAGATAGCAAAACAATATTGCCAGAAAATCCTTAATTCTAAAACATTGTTTTTGCTATTATAGGTGTCCCCGTCAGAGAGATTTAGAAGTGAGGGGAAACCTTCCCACTAAGGAGACAGATAGCAATAAAATCTGACACTTCCCCACCGTATCCAAAACAAAGGTTTTTGCTGGAGTCGGGTTTTAAGAGAAACATGCAGGACTATTTACTAAAGGGTGAAGAGTTTGGAGAAGGCAGGAGAAGTGAACAATCTAGGACAACATAGCTGAACTGGAAAGTGACCTGAATTGGATAATTTTTCCAAATCAGCTATTTTGGCCTAGATTGTTCACTTCTCCTGCCTTCTCCAAACTCTTCACCCTTTAGTGAGGAGACCTGATAGAGGCTGCCATTGCTGGCTACTCATTCCGCAAATGTTAGTTGCCTAGCTGTCATGTGGACCTTCTGGCTTCCGTACTTTCAAACTACTAGACTAGTTTTTGATTTCTCTGCATTGCATACTTGCTTCAGATCAATTGCTCAAAAATACTGAAGCTCTTGAACAAACAATAAAGGCAGACAACTAAGATTATGGGGAAATGGTGAGAAATCACAGCTGCCATGTTTCTCTTATGAACACAAAGCAAAATAAAAACTTTTCTGCTAGAACGATAAGGAATAAGACATTCATTTACAGCAAGCTTGTCCAGGAATTGTGCGTGAAACATACTAAAGGTAGAGCCAGACATTTTCGCAAGAAAGACTGCAATTCTTCATACTTGTCTCATAGCAGAAAAAACTTTTAATGGTTTGAGCCACTAACCCAGACCAAGTACGTACATAAGGACTTCTAAGTTTGCTTTGACTTTCCCGATCTGTAAACTTTTCATAACATCTGTAACTCTGACAGTACTGAAGCAAAAGGGTCATCTCATTCAGCAAGAGTTTACTTTAATTTAGA